TGAAAAGTACTTCAAAGTAAGCTACTTCAAGTAGCTGAAAGTAACTTGAAGTAGCTTAAAGTAGCTCAAAGTAACTTCAAGTCCAAAAGTCCGCCGTTTCCCCCTTGAAAAAATCGCATAAAAAACTACAAAATGATATTGTTGTTATAAATTTTAGTTATTTTAGCATACACATTGAGCGCGAAGAGTTATCGAATCACTATGAAAAGTGTGTGTATGTGAGTGTGGACGTTGAATGCTCTTAACATCCACACCCGCTTTTTGGCCTTCAAAGTTCGATTTGAAAGAGAAAAAAGTATTGTTTTATAGACAACTCAATATGTTCTACAATCTGGACCGATCAAAAAACCAATTTGACGAAAAGAAAACTTGTAGCATAGAAAAACGGTTTTCTAGAAAATTACCCTATAAATGTCTAAGGGGATTTCTCATACCTATATTCGGAATCAGCATAGTCGATAACCTATAATTCATTAGGTTTTATTAAAAAAGTGATTTGACAGTTGGCGAGGTTTTCTCGGGAGAAGATCATAACAGACTCGTAATAAAAACCAAAACAACAATATCCAATATCAACATAACCAATAAGAATGTTGTCTTCTCTTCCATCTCAAAACATGAAAAGGATACTGATCATCAACTTAACTGGAAAGACTTTCGAGTTGTTAGGCAAGACAACCATCCTCCTGGTCGTCTTATCAAAGAACCTATATGGACTCAAACATTCAAGCCTGAACTCAATCGAACACCACACTCAGCATCTTTGATTATATTCTCGAATAGCTTACCAAGAAATGTATTGCTGGACTCAAATGTTTAACAAAATAAAATGAACATTTCTTTTGCTTCGTTCCCATCTCTTTATTGTATTAATCCGTTTCTTTAATTTATCTATGTATCTTTTCTCAATTGTGCATAGTATTTTTTGATAATAATGATTTAGTTCATCAAAACACTGAATTCGTTATGAATAAATTTAATATTCAAATATGCTATCCATGTCAGAAAAACCGGATCAGTTCTAGCGGTAAATCTCGGTTTTACTGGCGAAAACCACCGGTGTACCGAAAAAAATCGCGGTTCTCTCCGGTTAACCGCGGTTTTTTCTATGTCAAGGAGCCGGTAACCGGACCGGTAAAACCGCGGTTAACCGCCGGTTTTGCCTCGGTTTT